TCATTAGTTTGATGCTTTAATATTTGTCCTGTTGCTTTTATTGGTTGTAAGTTACCTAGAAGACATGGGAAGCATATAGGTTTAATAAATTAATGAACAAATATACAAATAAGTAAATAACCACAACAAAACCTTAACCAGAGTTTCTATTAATAAAAGCAAGCTCTTTAGTGATGCCTTAGGTCCTTGATGGTGAACCTATGCCATGCGTGCCAGAAGTGGCACACAGAGCCATCTCTCCAGGCATCCATTGCTCTTCTTGTGTGCCAGCCAACTGGTCTTCATGTACACATGCGCATTAGAAACTGGAAGACCAGGTGACTGGCACGCATGTGCATGCCTGGAGTTGTTTCCAGCATGTGCGCGCTCCCATTTCAGCACTCGGTGCTGAAAAGATTAACCACCACTGCCTTGGATTTTAAAAAAAATGGCAGTTGAAGCTGAATGTGCAATATGGTTTAGCATTTGGACAGATCTGAATCAGAGTATTTTTTTCATCTTTTTTTTCATCTTTTCATCTTTCATTTTTTTTTGCATCTGATAACAAAGATTCTGTATAAGTGATTCTGCATTCATTATTAATCATTACACTCTGATATATTGGCACAATAAAAGGGGTACTGCAAGAAGCAGAAGCAATTAATCAAAAGCCCCAGATCCACAGTCGTCCAGGAAACCCAGCCCCCGCCCCCCCAGCCCAGGATGCTACTAGAGGAAATAGGAAGCAGCCCCAGATCTGTGGCATGACAGCAAGCCCTGTCCCAGCACGGATCAGTAGTATAGCAATAGCACTTAGAGTTATATATAGCTTTACAGTGCTTTATAGCCCCCTCTAAATGGTTTTACAGAGTCAGCATATTGCCTCCCAACAGTCTGGGTCCTCATTTTACCCACCTTAGAAGGATGGAAGGCTGAGTCAACCGTGACCCTGGTGAGAACCTTGAGGCAAATTGCAGGCAGCCGGCAGGCAGCAGAAGTAGCCTGCAGTAATGCACTCTAACCACTGCACTACCGTGACTCTTAAAGTATGGCACAAAGGGGTTTCTTGAGGCAAAAGGTGAGGTCAGGCATGTCTTGTCAACAGCAAGAGCAAGAAGATGTCAAAGGTCAGTTGGGGTGGTAGAACTCAGGGTGGCAAGTGTCCAAAAGGACATAGATGGGAAAAGGTTAGCAAGAAATGGGTCTGTGTGTGGTCATAAGTACAAGCACCTGAATTTTGATCACATCATCCTGGGACGCTGCAATGGATATAATTTCAGGCACAGGTCATAAATTCCCACTTCAAGCAATGTTGTAACTTCACAATATCTCTGAACTAATGGTCATAAATTGAGGATTACCTGTAAGATAAAACTAGGAAGGGTCTCATATAATGATACCAAATTCTGAATATACAAAAAAAAAAAAAAACCTCATTAACCAAATCTGAAACAAAACTAAGAAGTTTTAAATACATAGCAATGAGTATAGGAATGAGCTCAGAAACAAGGTACCATATTTTAAATCTGGTTGCGAATATTAAATATTAAAATGCTTAACGTGGGTTTTTTTTTCCTCCTCTGTATTATTTTTAAAGCAATCTAGATGGTTTGTTTAAAGCATCTAACAGAAAAGACAAAGAGAAGGCGCTAGAAAACTGAATCTATCTTTGTCATGATTCTCCTTCACAAATTGCTTTTTGGATGCTTTTTGTCATTCCTCTCACAAAAATAGATGTTAAAGTACATAAGCTGATAGACAGAAAACATTTGACAACAAAATACCACACTTCTCTCCTTCATTTTTAATATCTTCTATACCTAATGCTCCAAAATTGAGATTAGCACTGACAGATGGCAGCCTGGTGAGAAAAGAAACAGATTTTTTTGAATATTAACATGGATAATGGTGTCCATATCCATAACATGGATATGGACACCGTACACCATAACAGTGAAATAAGAGCTGCTGCTATCTGTAAATGTGAAGCCACCAAGCTGAGGGAAGCTTGACCTCCACATATTGTATTTTACACACCCTGGGCAATGTTTCTGTCATTGTGGTATGTAGTATGCTGGAAAGGGCTAACACTAAATGATTTATGATCATTCTGACATACCTGTGTGATGTCTAAGCTGCATGTGTCTTATACACTTATAATGTGCATAGATCTATCACAGTAGATATTCTCTCATAGGGCTGGGCAAATTCTTCAGAAGAAGTGCTTTTGAACATATGGAGCTGCATAGAAAGCACCTGTTTTTGTAGAGGGTAAGCAAATGTATCTTTTGTTTTTCCAGGATCATGCAGCTGTTTCCAAAAGTGTCCCAGATTGTTAGCCACACTGTTCCACTGAGGAAAAAAACCCTGCTCCAGCGACATTTAGGGCAAGCTATCAAGTTTGTATAGCATTATGATGTAAAGATTATACAATGATCCACCACATTCTTGTTGCTGTTTCTAGTTAGTGACTGCAGAAATATCTTGAGTAAAGATTTAGGTTTAAAGCAGTATGCTACAATGACAATAGAAGAGGGTGGGCTGGTTGTTTCCCCACATGTAGATACAAGCTGAAGTGCCCTTCAGGGGCCAATAGCAATAAGAGATTTCTAAGAAAGAGGGATTGAAAACTAATGTGATTATTGCAAGTCTTATTAAAAATAAATACTTACAGACGTAAACATGTAATGCTTCCTTGGATGGACACCAGGTATGTATGCAATATTCATGCATTGCCCATGCCAGGGGCAGGTTTGTAAAACTTTTATACTGAATATACTGGACATTCATTAATCATGGGTGCTACACAAATAGTCAATTAAAAATAGAAACTAAGTTATTAGCCTGAGAAATGCCTTCCCTGTAAACTCCTCAATGTCTCTGCTTCTAGCATTACTCCTACATATATTCCAAAGCCCTACTATGCATCTACTACTTTTTTATACTAACACCCCATGCAGTGGTTAAATATGGTGCTAGCTATGGGATGTCCAGTTGGGACACAGGCAATGGGAAGTAAATGCCAAAATGTGCATTACAGCAATATCATAATGGAGATCATAAGACTTATATCTATATCCAACATTAGGTTGTATATGCATCGTAAAGTCACAATTCATTTTTTGCTATTTTTGCTTCCATATGGTTTGTGTCAGATGCTTCTGGACTGCGGTGATCCTACAGTGACCAAAGTTCCCATTGAGAAGAATCTAAGTTTGGAAGCAAAACCATAATTTGCTACCTGCATTAATAAATATAGCGCTATCAAATTGGGAGTACAAAAATACTTTTGTATAGACCAGACTAGGAAATGAAAGTTATACAGGCCAGTATTGCCTTGATTATGAAGAATCTTGTAAGTCTGCATGTACTTCCAACTCCCTCCCTTTATCTTCATGAGAATTAGAGAAGGTCTTGTCTGTGACACTTATCTGACTTACAGATTTCTTTTATCTGACCATCGTCTTGGTACAAGCTCTTCTTCCTGTTCAATTTCAGATTGAATGCCACAAGAAATATGTTCAGTATATTTACAATACTATGTCTCCTGAAATTGCTACATGAATTTTGCAGCTCCCTTTTGAACAAAATTACTGAATTCATTGATATTAGGATTGGGCTAGAATAAATATAGCAGTTATTAAAATATGCATAACTTCCGTCTATGACTGGTCATTTGCAGGAGGGAGGTCGGAAGAGGGAGGTCAGTTTAGCTAAACCGACTATTTTATTTTCATTTCTATGATTGTGATCATTGTCTTGCCCTTTTTTACTGTACATATCTATTTTCTCAATACATTCATCTTGGCAGTTATTGTTTCGGCTTCATCGAGGAATTATGATGCCCAGTTACATCTTGTTTCAGGACTTGCCTGAAGTTTGTTAAATTCTCGGCCTTTGGATTTGTTGCAAGGAGATCTAAAAGACTATTTTTCCTTTCAAGGTAGATTTAAGGGGGAAGTCCTTGCTAGATTATTAAAACTCCCCAATTGGACAGACTAAAGGAGTGTATGGCTTATCTGTCTGGAACACAGCAATGATCATATCTATACTTCCTTCTCCATAGGATAGATTATCACCTTTTCTAGCTTGCAACAACTAATCAAGTCCCACCTTAAATATTGCCCTACATACAGGCCACACACCATCAGCAGAATCCACACAAACTGACATGCTCAGAAAACAGCAGTGAAAATGATAAGGAGACCAAAAACTAAATTCCATGAAAAGAAATTATAAATCTGGGAAAGGTTTTCATTAAATAGGAAAGACTGAGAATAGAATATGGTAGCATTCTTCACATACTTGAAAGCATGTCATACAGAAGCTGATTGTCATGCTCCTGGTGGAAACTGACTCTGAGGAAGAGGAGGACCCAGGCCCATCCCCTATCCATCCTAGGGCATGCAGGGAGGAGAGGATCAGGGTAAAACATGGTCTACTTGGGAGGAGAGGGCCATGATCCTCTTCATGGGTTGCGGGTGTGAGATCTGCATAAAAGGTTGGACCTGTGTGCTAACAGATGCTGGAGACAAATTAGTGTTTTATTCCTAAAGAAGGTTAATCTTGGTTGGTGTTCTTCCAATGGACTATCCCTAGTTATCTTCCTGAAGTTGGCAATTATCTATCCTGGTCTGTTGTGGAACTTTATTCAATGCGGTTTGTTTTTGGTTTTTGCTTCATTATCGGCTCTTTGAATTTGAACTGTTTCTTTCCTTTGAAATGTTATTTTGAAAATAGTTTACTCCTACACTGTGAACAATTAAACAGTGAAACCAAGCTGAAGGCATTCACTGACTTTTAGTTACGTTTTGGGTTTTGTTATATTTCTGATATACTCTGGGTCATCACACTGGTTTAGTCTTGATCTGGATAATAATCTGAAGCTCAGTCTTCAAGTTACCTAAAACAGAATTCAATCACACAAAAAACTATCTTACATTTCTCTACTGCTCCTCCTTAAGCTTCTTCTCCTTCTCCTTCTCCTTCTCCTTCTCCTTCTCCTTCTCCTTCTCCTTCTCCTTCTCCTTCTTCTGCAAACAAAACTGCCCTGGAAACAACAAATAAATTTGAAATCTGGCCTGGATCCTGGCCTAGAACATAGTAGACTGAACATTGGATAACTGATTTAAATACCAGAGCGGTTTCCAATTGAATGTTAGGAAAAATTTCCTATGAGCAACAGAGTTTAATAGTGGAACCAATTATCAGAAAATGTAGACTCCGTTTCCTGGATGCATTCAAGCAGAGGTTGGACACCATCTGTTGTTGATGTCTTTTTGCTTTAATTTGGATTCCTAAGTGGATTGGAGGGTTGGATTTAATGGCATAAACAACTCCTTTCAACTCTATCATTCTATAATTCTATCACTAATGAATGAGCCCTTGAGGAACCAGATTGGAGAGGAGCAAAGAGTTTGCACAATAGTACTAAAAAGAGATGACAGATCTGATGTACAAAGAATTCTTTTGAAAAGGGAAAACGCTGATTATTTTAATTTGTAGTGACACCAAGTCATACAGATTCTTAATAAAGTTGTTCCCTCCTTTCTCTCATTTGAATCCCCATCATGTTTAAAATACATTTCAACTTCTGCATCTATAAAAGGCAATTCAACAAGCTTGGTATTTTTTGATGCCTTAATTTTTTTTCTCTAACCCCAATATTTGATAGGAGATTAAAACCTTAAAATTTCCTTTTCTTTTTAAAAGTGATTTTACTATAAAAACTGGGCAAGTAATTAAGATTATCAATTTATGGGTTTATAGTGGATGCTAATTAGACAGTTTTTGCTTTATTCATTAATAAATGACTTGTGGGTTATAATGCAGGAAAAAAAACAGAATTGGGAAGGCAAAAGTAAATTAATATGATTTGATGAGCCATGGTGGCACAGTGGTTAAAATGCAGTACTGCAGGCTACTTCTGCTGCCTGTAATTTTGCAGTTCGAATTTCACCAGGTTCAAGGTTGACTCAGCCTTCCATCCTTCTGATAAAATGAGGACCCAGATTGTTGGGGGCAATAGGGTGACTTTGTAAATTGCTTAGAGAGGGCTGTAAAGCACTGTGAAGTGGTATAGAAGTCTAAGTGCTACTGCTATTGCTGTTTTATTTAATTTAGTTTCATGTTAGAAATATTTTGTTTAATCTAAATGCAACTCTGATCCTAGATTTTATGTTGCTTATTCTATATATGTGGAATTAGACTTTTGGCAGTTGAATGTTTCTCCAGCAATAAGACCACATAGTTCACCATACTGGAGAGCCACCATGTATTAGCTTAAAGTGCAAAAACCCCATTATGTGACTCTGAAAGCAGAAGAGAAACTGTTACCAATTTGATCCAACCCTTAGCAACCACCATATTTTGACCATAAAATTCTACTCAAAATTTCTTTCCTGCAATTGTGTATGTGGTGACACTTTCATTTGTGAACTAGTTCATTTTAATGATCCTCATTCCCATCCTTTTCTCTCATCTTCCCTGAGTTTATTTATTTGGCTTTCTGTTCTACAATTTTTCATTTCCCCCCTTTTAGATTCTTATAAAGAAAGAAAGTGATATTCTCATAATTAGGACTGCTTCTTATCTGCAGTAAATAGCAATAGCAGTTAGACTTATATATTGCTTCACAGTGCTTTACAGCTCTCTTAGTGGTTTATAGTATCAGCCCCCAACAATCTAGGTCCTCATTTTACCAAACTCAGAAGGAAGGAATGCTGAGTCAATCTTGAGCCTGGTGAGGTCTGAACTGCCAAACTGCAGTCAACTGGCAGTCAGCAGAAGTAGCCTGCAGTACTGCATTCTAATCACTGTGCCACCACAGCTCCTAGTGTTGTCAAGTTACATATCTATCAAAGCTAAATCCTTGACTTTGACTTGATCTATGTTTGTGTTTTTAAAGAGGAGTGCCGTGTCCAGGGTGCAGGGAAATGATATCCATGTATAAGATTAATTTCTCCTTGAAGCACTGTACATTGTTTTGTTTTACACTCTTTTATTAATGTAATAATGGGAAAAAACAATAATATACTTCTGCTCACTAAATATATGTGTATATAAACCACTTCTTATGTAATACATAGAAATGATGAAATGCATGTAAGTAGCCATTGAGACTTCCATTTTAATATTTCCCATGATCAGGAAATATCACACTAATTGAAATATGATGTTCAACTATTACATTCAAGTACAGTGCTAACAGCAGCACACATTTTGTCAATTTCATAATGTAGTACCCAAAAACTACAGGATCTTTTAAACAACTGGCAAAGAAAAATAAGAAGTGATTATAAAATGATCAATGACATTTCCACTCCATCTGCTAGGGAGGGAATGAATCACAGCAGTGACATTTCCTCCTTTGGATCAGAAGAGGGTTGCAACAAAACAAATACATGCTTTCCTGGGCTACAACAAATTCCCACAGAGGAATTCTGTATGTGAACATAAGTTTGTGTGCTTCGTGCTTCAAATACAAAACAAAAACACTCAGAGATACAAGTGTAACTCTTGTCTCCACAAAGCAATGGCACCATTCCTCAAAAAGACAGGTTTGATTTGAAATGGACAGGTGTTATGTTTTTCAAGGTCAGGCCCATGTAGACTGATTTGCAATAATTAAACAGTAAGGTGACCAGGGTATGACTGATTTGTCTGAAGAATTTGTCTGAAGAATGCAAAGGCCTTCCTGGCTACAGCTGCCAGTTGTTCACTGAGCAGGAAATGTGAGGCCAGAAAGATCTCTAGAGAGTTCAAGAAAATGACCTTGGCAGAGGAAAAAACAGATTGTTTATAGATCAACAAGGAGAAAAGTGCAAATGTCCAAGCGAATCCAAGGGAAGGAGGACAAGACTCAGATAGACACCTCCTTAATTTCACCAGAGTATAAGGAGGGAGAAATTTAAAGCACAATCAGATTTGCAAGATTCTGTTACACTATTCCATCACAATAAAAGTGTTTTAGATTTCCACTGTCTCACTAGATGGCATTGCATAATAAAGGGAACTCAGAATGCTGTTAGATCAAATCATGGTCAAAGATACTGAAAACTGCAAAGATAAAGGAACACAAGTTTGGATCTGCCATTCGGTCTGCCCTGTTTTAACACGTTATCTACAAACATGATCAAAGCTCTCAGTACTAAATCCTAGCCCGAAACCTGTCAAGATACTCAATTTGCTAAGATTCTCGTGAAGTGCAGACTGACCACTCTCTCAATAACCTTTTCTGAAAAGGGAAGGTTGGAAAATAGATTATAGTTATTGAAAACGGTTGTGTTTTCTGAAAAGGGAAGGTTGGAAGATAGATTATAGTTATTGAAAACGGTTGTGTCCCAGGATGGCATCTTCACGAGGGTGTATATTACCATCTTTCAAGCAGGAAGTGCAGCTCCCTCCATCAGGGAGCCTAACATCACAATAATTTTATATTGATGGTGCACATGATCATTTTTAAATGTCACAAAGTTGCATATATATTAAGTGAGGAAATATACCTCTCCTAAGTATTAATTTTTCTTTTCAGATGCCATGAAAGGGCTAACCAAACATACGATAATTGTGGGGTATAAATCATGATAACAGAAGACTCAATACATGTGTGGGTTTTTTTTTTATTGTGTAGAAATAATCTGGGAGTTTTCCTGCAGCCCATTCATTGAAGTTCATTTCTCATCCTTCAGGATGACCTTCTTTTATAACATCTAAATTCCCAACTAAATATATCAGGCTGCATAATCCTAAGAGATTACAACACTAAAATCTATTACAGTACTAGGAGATTTATTTTTCCTCCATGGTGACATTTAAAAATTATTGTGTGGGTCATTAATACAAAATCATTGTCCAATTTGGACTGAGGGAGAAAATGTCACAATTTGGAATTATAGAGCTGGCACCACCTAGAGCTGGAGGTTGTTAAATATAATGTCATATTTAAAGTGATATAAAATTTAATGACATCAGAATATAAATTACAATCTGTGAGCAACTGTTCCAGCTCAGGTAAGGTCATCCATAATAGTACTAGGAAAAACAAAAGATGGCATGTGCATCTTAATGCATCACACACATTTGGTGACTTTCATTATTTGCTTCAGATGTTGAGATATTAGTATGTAATTGTAGCATTGGTGTGATGATCTCATATGCTACCATTCTGTAATTATAAATTTTGCTGAACCCAAAATTTCTTATGATTCAGCTATTAAATCACAGGATTCTCTTTCAGGAATAGTTTGCAAATATATTTGATTCAAATTGTTTTTTTAATGAATTATAAATCATAAATATAATGTTTTCAACTTTATACTGATTTCCTTTTGACTGGTAGAGTGATAAAAAGCTGAAAACATTCATACTTTCATGCAGATACTTTCATGTAGATATCTATCTATCCCCTTTTTAGTTTGCCAAGGGGAAGGGATGTATGGTTGGATTCTCACACTGGGTAATTCTTCTTTAAGACAGAAAATATTCTTAACCATCCCTTAAGGAAACAATGGTTTGTTCCTTTCTCAAGAAGTTATTGCTAGACTACCATCCAGTTTCCAACTTTCCCTTTTTAGAGAAGATTGTAAAGAAGGTGGTCTTTTGAGCTTCTGAGCCCTGGAAAACACAGCTTCTGAGCCCTGGAAAGCACAGATTATGTGGATGCATTCAGAGGTGGTATTCAGCAGGTTCTGACCAGTTTTGGAGAACCAGTAGCGGAAACTTTGAGTAGTCTGGAGAACCAGCAAATACCACCTCTCATTGGCCCTGCCCACATCTATTCTCTGCCTCCCGAGTCCCAGCTGATCGGCTGGGTCTTCTTTTGTTGGCCTGCACAGGAGGACGCAGCTAGAAAGCAAGTTAGTGGGGTGGGGAGGGAATGGGATTTTGCAGTAACCTTCCCCCAGGAGTGGAGAGGGACTGGAGATTTTACAGTATCCTTCCCCTGCCATGCCCACCAAGCCATACCCACCAAGCCACACTATGCCCACCAAGCCCCGCCCACAGAACTGGTAGTAAAAAAATTTGAAGCCCACCAATGGATGCTTTCCAATCAGAATTCAGGCCTAGGTATGGGACTGAGATGACATTGATCACATTCTTGGATGACTTTTGGTGGCAGAGGGATGGTAGAAGTTTGTCCATCCTTGCTCTTCTTGATGTCTCATATAATTGATCATGGTACATTTATGAAGTGGCTACTGGAATTAAGGATAAGCAGCACATTTTTCTGCTGGTTCTTCTCTTCCTTCAGGGTCATTTTCAATTATGTCGACAGGGGGCAGAGGTCCAGCCTGAGCTCCTTCCTCTATGGGATGCTGAGGTTTTGGTACTTTCTCCTCTGTTGTTTATATTTACATGAAGTTGTGGGGCTAATAAAAATCTTATTATAGAAGTGGGGGAGGGAAATCACACAATTTCAGATCTTTTCTAAGAATGTTTCATTCCTATTTTGTGAAAAGCAATATATGAAAACAAGAGCAGTGAAATATAAAATATTTATAATGCATGGGGAAGATCTTGATGCCTTACTTTATCTTTCTACTATTAATCAGTATAAAGCAATCTTGTTACCACATTAACTGCCATTCTGTGAGTTAAATGTTGATTGAATATTACTTTTGAGAGGTGAAATTTTTTGGGGGGGAGGGGGGTAAAAGTAAGTAAGCCTTTGAACACTTAACTGGATATGACTAACACATAAATTACTCAAATGTAGTTTCTTTATCTCTGAATACTTCATAGACATTAGAGAAGGTTTTGAAAACAGAAAGAAAAATCAAAGAGCTATCATCAATTTGCATTTTTCTAAATTAGCAAAATATTAGAATACTGAGATATTACTCATATTGATTTCAAAAATGCAATGTGGAGAAGAATATAAAAGAAACTTTAGGGCAATAGTCCTCAAAGACAATTTTGAATTCATGGGCCCAAATTTATCAATACTGATAGTGATACTATTTATTATCTCTTAAAGAGTTCAAGGCAAATTATATACTTTTATTTTCCCTCATTTTATTCTCCCCGGATATTTTTATATCTTATTCTTTCTTTTCTTTTCTAGGAATATTCTGTAATGAATTCTAATGTTTCAGATGCCACAATGTAGGAGTCAGTGGGTAGGTGACATGATGGCCTCCACATTTTATCAAGGAAAGGCTTGTGATTGGGCATTCTTTCTTTCTCTCATAAATTCTGTTTTCATTCAATATAGCAAATGATCAGTTCAAAATTACTTTGATCTGGATCCCCCTCCTTTCCCAGTTCATTTCATTATTAAACTTATTCTTGACCTGGTTGATATCAAACACCATACAAATAATAGGATGCTCATGCCAAGGGAATAATGTGAACTCCCAGAGTTTAGACATTCCTAGTTAATGTTATACCAGGTGTATTATTAAGGGGCAAGAAAATCAGGAGATCCAGGCAGTTCAAATGGGTATACTGTAAGCTTAAGGTCTCTGCAAGAATCTGAACTACTAATGGTCAAAGCAGTTTGGCAGTAAATAAGGAATTCATGGTGTGCTGGACTTACAGTAGATCTCTTATGAGCATGAAAGGATTCATGACTGGCGATGAGTTTGATCACTCCCTGGTGCTCAGTCTGCTCATCTCCTACATAGGGGTAGAGATTAAGTGGATTGGAAGATATGAATGAACTTTTAATTCTGGATCAGGATCATTGGTTGGGAATGGCAAATGCATATTACAAATTTCAGGGAGAAATTCCCAAAACCAGAAGTTGTGCTGGTTTCTGCTGGATCAATCTGCTGCATATTAGTACATACTTCATTAAAGTAATCCTGATTTTATGAATAAGGAATTCTTCCTTAATATAAGCAACTAAATATCCATTTATTACAAAATGGAGTGATACTAAGAATAAGGAACTAGCTATCACTCTTAACTGAAGGAGAATGTAGGTGTTGTAGGTTTAGATTAAAACATGTAGAAGAACATAAAATCTGCTACAATTAAATCTCTCTTTTGTTCTTCTGAATCATGATCCACAGACCTCTGAAAGTATCTGTTGGGATCCACAGACTCCAATGAAAGTATGTATTCAAGCATCATAGCCTGTGCATGGAACAGTCATTAGTATAAGTAACAGAACAAATATGGATAGGAATTTAGCTTATCTGTAATTTAACTGCACAGGCATAGATGGAAAGAAGATTTTGCAGGTGTCTAGGTCAGATATTCTCATTATCTGTTTCTCTGTAATTACATGATGAAAATAAAATTGCATATCAATGGTAAATGTTATGAACAATATGTTTAATCAAATGCAATCAAAACCAACTGTAGTCTGAAAAAAAATGTAATGTGCCTAAACCAACATCATTATAGATAATTGGAAGTAAATGTCCACCTAAAAGAGGCAACACATAATTTAGTTACACATTTTAATTGCTTCTAGACATAGATGTTATCTATATATCTACAGGAAGTAAATTACCTATCCATACCCTAATTGTTAACTCTTTGACCCTTTTTCTTAGAGAGTTAGATAAGGTGATTACAGTTTTATTTCACCCAGCAATTTCAACAGCAGACACTTTTTAACTTGAACTTCAAACTCCTCTCTTCTCCTTTCACCAGGGCTACAGAGTGATCTCACTTTGGCTCAGAATTGCAGATCGGTTATTAAATAATCTGCACAAAAGTTACCTATCTATTTTGAAGACTGACCCCCAAGGACCCTTAATTAATAGTAGACTTCGCTTCTGTTCAACAATCAGTTCCTAGAAATCCTTTTCTAAACCCAGAGATCATCCCACACCCCATCCTTGGAAAATGGCATACAAGGAAAGGTAGGAGATGTTCATGTTCTCTTTAACATGGGAGCCTCCAGGTTCTAAGTAGTGCATTTGTGTTGTCTCAGTAGCACCCATCAAAGAAGGTTAGACAAGCTTAACATTCTGCACTGTCCAATTACTCCAACATTGCCTTTAGGAATTGTCTCTACCTACCAAAAGACTTCATACCCTACTAGACAGAATTTAAAAGATTTTGATCACTCTTTTCACACTGGCGGTGTCCTGACTTCAAGGGTTCAGATGAAAGATATAGATCTTCTTTCCTCCTTAGAAAGTGGGGGACAACGTTACCATTGAATGAATATAAAGAATAACAAACAATTGGATCACGGGGCAACTTTGTTTTTTTGTTTTTTTAAAAAAACAAACTTTATTGATTATACAACTAAAATATCAAACAAACACATATACAACACACAGAAAAAAAGCAAAAAGGAAAAAAAAAGATTAAAAACTAGCAATTCTATAATCAACAGTCTATGGTTCCTTGTTTGTTATCAATATTGGTGACATATTTACAAATACATCTTATTGTGAGTATATAATTGCTACCTCTTTTACATTTTATGTTGTTTACTAATATAGTATCTATTTTTGTTCTATCCAGTCATACCAGCATTCCCAGCCTCCATAATATTCTGATGTTTCTTTTTCCTTAAGTGCTAAGATTAACTTGTCCATCTCTGCACAGGCTGTTATCTTCTAAATGACCATTTCCTCTGTTGGAATATCTGCTTGTTTCCAACACTGCAAATTTTATTCTGGCTGCAGTAAGAATGTGCAATATTATATATTTGAATTTTTTAGAAATTTGTCTATTAAATATCCCCAGTAAGAATAATTCTGGTTTTAATTCAATTTGCTCTGCCGTTATTTCCTCTAACCATTTTTTTATTCTGTGCCAGTATCTTTGGGCTTCAGTGCAGGACCACCCCATGTGAAAGAATGTTCCATGTTTCTTTTTACATTTCCAGCAATTCGGATTCATGTTAGGAGACATTTTCGCTATTCTCGACAGTGAGAGATGCCATCTATAAAAGATTTTATAGGCATTTTCTTTATATGTTGTTGATTTTGTAATTTTATTATTCCTTGTCCAGACCTTTTCCCATTCTAATAATGTAATGCGACGTCCTATGTTTCTACTCCAGGCTATCATGTTGTCCATGACTACTTCCTCTTCTGATTCTATCTCTAATAATTAATTATAAAATTTAGTTATATTTTTTTTATCTGGGCCTAGTAGGATTTTATCTAATTGTTGTAGCTTAGCATAAATTCCAAAATTTCTCTTGTCCTGGCTATATCTATTTTGAATTTGCAGGTAAGCCCACCAGTCTACTTGTAGCCCTTGTTCTTGGAGATCTTGCCATGATTTTAAATTTCCTTGCGCATCAAGAAGGTCTTTGTATTTTATCATTTTATTAAGATCTAGATTATTTGGATGTATCATCACCTCCATCGTTGAGATCCAGATTGGGATTTTTAAATAATTTTTATTTTATTTTATTCCAATTAGCCAATAAGGAATCTCTAATTATATGTCTGTAGAAATAATTCTGTTTAATTTTTCCAGTGTCCCATAAAAATGTGTGGCACCCCCTCTGTAAGTCATGGCCTTCTAGAAATAAGATTCTTTTATTCGACAGGTTTACCCACTCTTTCAACCAAAGTAAGGAAGATGCACTATAGTATAATTCCCAATTGCCTTTAGGTTTATCCTCAGTTTTTTCCCTTGCCAAATAAATTTGTGATTATCTTGTTCAGTTCCACAAAGTAATTTTTATGTATTTTTACTGGTATTGTTTGGAATAAGTAAAGAAATTTGGACAGAATGTTCATTTTTATAGTGGCAATCCTCCCCAATAAGGAGATTTGCAATTTAACCCATGTCTCTAAATCTTTTTTGACTTGCTGTAATAATTTATTATAATTATTTTCCATTAGGGTTTTGCATTGAGCCGTCAACCAAATTCCTAAGTATTTAACTTTATTTTTACTATTTGTACTCCCATTATCCTTTCCAATTTTAATTTTTGTTTTTCTGTTAAATTTTTAGTTTTTAATTTTGTTTTTCCCTATTGATTTTAAGTCCTGCAACTTTCCCAAATTGATCTAACTCTTTCAATAGTTCTTGACCTGTTTCAATTGGTTCCTCTATGAAAAAAACCATATCATCCGCAAATGACTGGAGTTTATATTCTTCTTTCTTAATTTTTAGTCCTTTTATTCCTGGATTCTGTCTAATTCGTGTAAGCAATGTTTCCAAAGATAATATGAAGAGCAGGGGAGATAGTGGACATCCCTGCCTAACTCCTTTCTCTATTTTTATTGAGCGCGTGTACTCTCCATTAATTATAATATTCTCCTTTTGTGAATCATAAATTGTAGTCACAATGTTTTCAAATTTAGTGCCATGTTGTAAATTTGTTGGGTTAGGAATTGCCAATTTAGATTGTCAAAGGCCTTCTGTGCATCCAAGAATACAAGAGCTATTTGTTTTTCCAGGTGGGCTTCGTAGTATTCCAAAACATTTAGTACTATTCTTTTTTTTTTAAGTTTTTATTGTTTTTTGACATACAAACAAACAGACAAAACATAAAAACATCAGCTCCCCCATATTTATATACAAACAGTGAGTCGGTTGGTTCATCAGTTTTGTGCACTCATCTCATAGTCACAATTACAATTACCTTATATAATAACTCTTATTGTCAATACAAACTTATAAATCATAATATCACTATTAAAAAAAGAAGTTTGACTAAACTTTTAGTCGATCATGCCTTTGTGAGATAACTATATTTTAAGTAATTTATTCTAAAACAAATCATATAATCGTGCCAATTCTATCCTAAATAAGAGAAAAAAAAGAAACAGAAAACTATTATATAAATATAATATCCAGTACCAAAAAAGAGAAAAGAAAAATGAAATCAATATTATTCCTTATTGTCTAACATTTCTATTTTTGTATTTCATCATTCAACCATTGATAGAAAAGATCCCAAACTATATAAAATTGTTTATATTCTTGCTCTCTGATTTCAAAAGTCAATCTACTCATCTCAGCACATTCCAATATTTTCTTTATGACTTCTTCCTGCAATGGAATTTTCTCATTTTTCCAATTTTTTGCAAATACAATCCTAGCCGCAGTCAATACATTTACAATCAAATATTTCAGCTCTTTACTATAGACATCTGGTAAAATTCCCAGTAAAAAAAGCTCCGGTTTCAAGTCTATGTGCTTCTTTGTCATTTTTTCCAACCACATGTGGATTTTAGTCCAATATTTTCTAGCGTCCTCACAAGTCCACCACATATGGTAGTATGAACCAGGTTTCTGATGACATTTCCAGCATTTTTCGGATTTGTTCTTGAACATTCTTGCTATCCTTGTCGGGGGAAAATGCCACCTGTAAAACATCTTATACAAATTTTCTTTAAAGGCTGTAGACATTGTCATTTTATAATTTTGCAACCATAATTTCTGCCATTTCTCTAAGTCAATCCCATATCCAAAATTCCTCCCCCAAGCAATCATAGTTTCTTTAACTTGTTCTTCCTCCAACTTAATTTCCAATAAGAAACCATATAATTTTTTAATCACCTTTTCATCAGTACCCATCAAAATCTTATCTAAATCAGTTTGTTTATCATAAAATCCTTCTGCTTTGGAATCCTCATAATACTTTGAATGTATTTGCAGATATGAAAACCAATTCATCTGTATACCTTGTTCCTCTAATTTTTGTATCGATTTAAGTTCACCCTTTTCATCTAGTAATTCCC